GACACCAATATGGAACCTCGTTAGTAAGTTTTTAAACACTGGTTTAAAAAGAGTTAAGCAGCTGACACACTCACCTCTCAATGTACAGACAAGATGTTGAAGCTGCAGAAGATTTGTGACATTGTCTTCGAATATGGACAGTTTGGGTACCAGGCATTTTCACAGGCACAGCGGTGAAGGTTCCTGACCTCTTACTATAAAGATAAAGTTGTTAAGAATCACATGATCTTCAACTGGAGACACACACATTGCAGCAAAGATGAAAAACCCTGTGCTTAACAAATGAAACAAGATTCAGAAGAATGTGCTTACATGATCAGTTTTTCACTTCATAAATACTTTCAGTAATTGAGTTACTTACGCTGATGGGATGAAGAGAGGCTTAAAAACCACAGCCCTCTTATGATCATTCTCTGATCAATCACTACTTGTCAAAGTATCATTTATCTTGGCACAAGATCAGACTGGTTTTACTCCAATAGGGACAACTCATTCACCCCATTACATAACAGTTCCACCATGGCCAATGTGAGTTCCAGAAACGTCCTTGTAAAAACTGGTCATGCAGCAACACAGGATACACACCAAGATATTTTTGCCACCTAACTTCATTAAGCCAATGAAACATGAAAATCAGCTCAACTTCTTTTAGAAGTTAACAGAGCCCACGAACAATTCCACAAAGCCATAAACCAGTTCCTATTTGAAACATGCAAAGATATTCTAACCTTAACACTGATTTGTTTAACGGCATATTTGGCGCAAGTTATTCAAATACCAATTCCCAAAAAAGGTGGGCATCACTGCTACTTTTCCTTAAAGCACTAGAAAGTTGTCACAGATTACATCTTCCTTTTTGCTTTTCCTCCTACAAAAAGCAAAAAAGGGCTTTGTTGTTACAAGTGTAACTATAAAGCTACATATGCTAACCTACTACATATTTTATACTTGAAGTTTCCAAGACCGCAACAGCATTTATCTTGCATATCATAATGTCATGTAATTACCTCTAGACTATCACAAAGCCGGGGGAAAGGGATGACGCACAACAGAAACTTAATCAAATTTTGGCCCATTGTTTCTATGAAGCGCCATGGGGCAAGCAGAACTCCTATGTTCTGTCTCTATTAATGCTCCCAAGTTTGGATTGCTAGCTGATATTCAAACATATGGTCAATCCAACTCTCTCTCTCTCCCGGAAATCAACTGCAGCTGGACAGGTGTTAGGTGCCCAGGGGTCAATAGGACATTCAATATACACAGAGCATAAAAATTAAATTTTGTGCTTAGGAAGAAGACTCAGTTGATGAAAAATATATTTTTGACCTTATCAACCATAAGCTATTTCATCATCCTAAAAAACCCCTGAAGTTTTATTGGGAACAATTACAAGCACATTTTTATCTTCATATTAAAGCTGTACCCTGCACACTTCATATAGCAATCCTGTAACAAACCACCATACTGTAATTGGTAATAAAATTCCTAAATATATTTCATACAAGATCATTAAGGTCAGACATACTATTATTGATAGGTAATTCTGGATCACAAGCTGACATTTTAGATTATAAAAGACATATGTCACTTTGTCTTTCCAAAGCTGCTAAGCAACTGGATTGCAGAATTCCACCTTCTGCACAAAATTATCAATACTTTTTGTCTAGACAAATTTAATTATATTAGCACTGATGAAACAGCATTAAAAGTGTCCTTTTATGTTCCTTTAATTTCTGAGGAAGGATTTTTTCCAAACGCAAGAAAGCACAAGTCCCACTGAACAATTAAACTTCTTTTTGCAAGTCTCATGGGTACTTCTAAAAGTGATCCACACCATTTTTACCAAAAAGCCTTTGTTTTTAAAGACTTGTATTAAGTTGCCAATTTTTTTTTTGCTATTCAAAAAGAAGATGGTCATATTACCCTGAATAACTCTAAATCTTCATGGCTTAAGCACGTCAGAAGTAAGCCCTTGGATAATGAAAGTTAATTAAAATCAAAAGCCCAGAAGTGTTATAGTCACCTTTGAGTGCTGCATAGGTAGTTTTAAAGTCCTTTTTGAGAGACGTATGAAAGCCAGAACAGTAAAACAATTATGTCAATTAATTAACCCTGTTTCATAACCCTATTACATATTTCATATGTAAAAGGACATGAAACCAGATGTAAAACAAAAATTTTCATACATAGCAAAGCTGGCTTGCCCAACTTAAAGGCTACAATGGCTGCTACTCCCCTTCCTCCCATACTTGGAGGCCTCATATAGCGACCCAAATGGCAAAACAACCTCAATGGCTTTTTCATTAGCTGTTCAACTTGTGGCACTCAAGTTTCACAGCTATATTTTTCACTTGAATACGCTGTAGAATATGCAAGGTGGATACTGCCTTTTTGCAAGTCCAGTAAAGTCTCTTTCAAGGAATGCAGCAACTTGCAATTAAAGTTGTAACAGTAGCAATTCCCCTTCCAATTTTCATTTAAATACTCTTATAACCCTACTTTGAATTTATGCGCCACATTTCATCCAGTGACTCTGAAGTGCTTTACCAAGGTGGGCACTGGCACTATCATACAAGAAGAAAAAACTGGGGCACAGAATGGCTATCCAGTTTGCTCAATATAACATAAGAGGCTTAAGAACAGAACCCAGATATGTTGCCTTGCTGTTACACCAGTGTCGTCTAAACTTTTGAAAGCTGAGTCCGATACCAGAAAAGTTAAGTTAGTTGTACCCTCCAACATTACCAATAGCTGGTGGGATTTCAAAGCTAGGCCCATCCTAAATGTACACATCTTCTATGCCAGGCTTGTCCAACATGTGGCCCACCAAGCTATTTTATCCAGCCCGCGGCAGAGCTCGGAGCTGCGGCTGAGCTGCCGCCACAGAGCATGGAGCTGGCGGCGAGGTGAGGTGGGCAGGGCCGGCCCACGAGCCCCAGCCAGCAGCGAGGAGAGGGGAGCTGCTTACACCAGCAGGGCCGAGCTCATCAGTGAGCCAGGTCCTGCCGCCACTGCCCCGAGGGCAGAACAGCACAGGGCTGCCCCAGCTGCACCTGACTGGACAAGCTGGGGACACCACATGCAGCTTCTTCTCTAGCTCCGCCCCTTGTCACTGGCACATGGTCGGGGGAGCTGCAGCATTGCCCACGCCCTGCCTGCATGTGTGGTGGATGGAGGCACGAGGTAAGTTCCTGCGTGAAGCTGGGGGCACCTCGGGGCTGGGCCGGGGCTACGGGGCGCGCGGTTGCCGGAGGCAGGCTGGGCAGGAGGCAGGAGAAGCCAGGCCCAGAGGCGCCTTATGTCCAGCCGCCTCCTTGGCAGTTCAGGTCCTGCTAATGTAGCCTGCATGGCTGAGGATTGGGGTCTGCATGCTACTGAAGCAGCCTGTGCGTTGAGGGGGTCCTAGGGCCCCACCCCCACAGCATGCAGCCTGTGCAACACATGCTGGTGTCATCTGGGCCCATCAGGGCTGTTCAGATCTGGTGAGGCTGTGGGCCCCAGATGACACCAGCATGTGTTGCACAGGCTGCATGCTGTGGGGGTGGGGCCCTAGGACCCCCTCAACGCACAGGCTGCTTCAGTAGCATGCAGACCCCAATCCTCAGCCATGCAGGCTACATTAGCAGGACCTGAACTGCCAAGGAGGCGGCTGGACATAAGGCGCCTCTGGGCCTGGCTTCTCCTGCCTCCTGCCCAGCCTGCCTCCGGCAACCGCGCGCCCCGTAGCCCCGGCCCAGCCCCGAGGTGCCCCCAGCTTCACGCAGGAACTTACCTCGTGCCTCCATCCACCACACATGCAGGCAGGGCGTGGGCAATGCTGCAGC